TTGGTTGGCTTCCAACATATATCAAAACATAATGTAACATTAAATTTTTTTATATAAAAACTTTGCTATACAGGGCTGCCTTCAGACGTCTTCTAAAGGTTGTACAGTCATACCTCGGGTTACAGCCGCTTCAGGTTGCATTTTTTCAGGTTGCAGATCTCCGAAGCCCGGAAGTACCGGAACGGGTTACTTCTGGGTTTCGGCGGTCGCACATGCACAGAAGCGCTAAATCGCACTTTGCGCATGCGCAGAAGCGCCGAATCGCAACCCGCGCTTGCGCACACGCGGGTTGCGAACATGCATCCCGCACGGATCACGTTCACAACCCGATCGTCCACTGTATAGTTACCGTATTTATCTCCTTGGCTCAGGGTCGCAAAACTCCATTCCCTCCAATATTTCTCCAATGAAAATAGGAGCATTCTAAGGGAAAGCGGGACATTCTGGATTCAAATCAGAAACCGGGACAGCTTCTGTAAATCCAGGAGTGTCCCTGGAAAATAGGGACATGGAGGGTCTGCAGCTGTAGATTTTGGCCATCTCATGGATGCATTAGTTGAGATTCTGGGATCGCAGGGGGTTGGACTGGGTGACCCTCTGTGTCCCTTCTGAGTCTACAATTCTGTGATTCTACTTTGAACACAGCTTAAAATCAGAAATCGGCTGACAATGAGCCCCTGGCAGTAGTCTAAGGCTCATGCAAACAGGCCCTGAGACAAAAGACGTGTGACACTGGGGCACAGGAGGAAGTTTTACTTTTCCCCCATTATGCAAAGTGCCGGACTCCTTTGCAGCTGCACTGACCAATACTAATTAAAAACATTAATCAGTCCTCCCACTCTGTCGTTTCCCCCCTTTAAGTAAATGGAAGCAATGAGTAAACAAAAGCAGACTTTTCTTGCAAAAGAGCAGTTGCTTAAAAGGGCAATCCAGTGAATAGCAAAGTGCACATTCTTGTTCCTTCCTAGCTGCACAGCATTTTGTATTCTTATAATGGGTAACTAAGGACTGCATTCAAAGCCTTGCAGCCGAAAGGATTAAGGCTTTTTAAAAAAATAATAATAAAAAAGATATGCAGAAGCAAAGTCAAGACATTGCCTGTCCGTGATTTTTTCAACTAACAGAAAACGGCTGCTTCTTGCTATTTGTTGCTTTAGATTGGATTGTGCTCACAATCTGTAGCTATGTGTGCTGAAGCGCACTGAAAACAAGGGGCTTAAGCACACTTAATTCTGTACCGTTTCGTGGTTTGCTTAATGAATTACATTCGTTATATCAAGGAAGGAGGACCTGTGCTCCCCCCAGCTGTCACTGGACTCCAACTCCCATCATCCCCAGCCAACGTGGTCAATTGTCAGGGCTGATGGGAGTTGTAGTTTAACAGCATCTGGAGGTTCTGAGGTTCAGGGACCCTGCTTGCAATGTCCACTGACTGTCCATTGGGTATTTCCATAAGCGTCTAGCTGGCTGTCATAGGATAATTCTGCATGCCATGAAACCACATTCCTGTTAGTATAGAGTATTTCAATCACTCTACATGGAGAAGCCGGGGTCAGCATCCCTCCTGTCCCAAAGCCTCCCCTCCCTGATCCTGCCCAATCCTTGCTACATGCAGGAGAATACTGATACAGGTGTAATGGGCAGATGGGAGACGTTGAACTCCATTGAAGCAGACTCCATAGTACAGTGGTACCTCGCAAGACGAATGCCTCGCAAGACAAAAAACTCGCAAGACGGAAGGGTTTTTTGAGCTGCTTCGCAAGACGATTTTCCCTATGGGCTTGCTTCGCAAGACGGAAACGTCTTGCAAGTTTGTTTCCTTTTTCTTAACACCGTTAATACAGTTGCGACTTGACTTTTAGGAGCAACTCATAGAACGCGGTGTGGTAGCCTTTTTTGAGGTTTTTAAAGACTTTGGTGATTTTTGAAGCTTTTCCGAAACTTTCCCGACACCGTGCTTCGCAAGACGAAAAAAATCGCAAGGCGACAAAACTCGCGGAACGAATTAATTTTGTCTTGCGAGGCACCACTGTATAGATTTCTGCTCTGTTCTTCAGCAGGATTCGGCTATTCTACCAAAGTCAGCAAAAACATTTCTATTTATTTGCAAAAGGCAGAGAAGTTGCAGGTGTAACATGACCTTGCATCTTGGAAAAATGTGATCAAGAGAATAATTTGCAAGTGAAGGGGTACAGTTAGGGTTACCCCCCCCCAAAAAAAGCCCTAAAACTGTCTGTGAATTCCCCCCCAGCCAGGCCTCAAAAGCCTCGCCTCGAGCATTTTAAAAACTGCATTTTCCTAAGACAAAATGCATTAGCTAAGCATTCCGCGCTTGCTGTAACTAAAAAAAAGATTGCAACAAGGTAGAGAACAGAGCCCATTGTCTTTAAACAATGGAGAAGAGTCAGTGGAAGAAGACTGGAGAAAGTTTAAAGACTATTTACAGAAATACTGTAAAATTAATGAATGTTAGAAAAATGTTGGAATGAAGTTATATGGCTTTAGTAGAAATGTTATAAGGAATTAAGTTTAAATAGATTATTAGAGCATTAAAGGGAAAAATAAGGTTAGAATGTGTTAAGACAATTATAGGATAGAAAATAGAGGAAGATGGAAAGGAATTGCTGAAACAATCAATAGAAGTGGAATACAAAAAGGGAGGTGTGAGGAGGCCGTGGAAATTAGTGAAAGGAGGATAAAACATTGAAATTGGATTGTGTTTTAAATGGTTTTTGTTTTGTTAGTTGTAGGTTAGTGCTTTGTAGTTTTTTTCTTTTTTTGTTATCATTATTACTGTATGGTTTTGTTTGTTTTTTGGTTTTTTGTAGTGTTGTGTTTAATTTGTTGGAAAATTAATAAATATTATTATTAAAAAAAGAGAGAGAGAGAACAGAGCCCATTGTCTTCTCAGGCCTTTCTCAGAGCCTTTGGCCTTGCTAAAGAACCACATTGCAACTTGCTTTCTGTCCAGGAACCATGCCAAAGCACAAGAATGAAACAACGGGAACACTCTGAAAACCCTCTCACCCCCTTCCTGGGAAAAGTCCAAAAATGGTCCCAAGACAGCTTTCTGTTCATGCTCAGAGGAACTCCTGGGCAGGACTCTTGAAGAAGGGGGAGGGAACTAGAAAGGGGGGCATAAACTCTGTGCAATGCCTGTGAACTTCGTGCTTGTTTGTGACTTATCACACTTGCTCCTCTGCCCACCCAGGATGGCAGAATAAAGCTCTTTCTCTGGATTTAACCCCTTGGTGTCGTTTGGCTCCTTTTCGTCCCAGCTCGGGTGCAACATTTTTCCTACCCATGGTTTAAAGGGCCTAAAAAGGCTACACAAGTACAGTGGTACCTCGGGTTAAGAACTTAATTCATTCCAGAGGTCCGTTCTTAACCTAAAACTGTACGTAACCTGAAGCACCACTTTAGCTAATGGAGCCTCCTGCTGCTGCTGCGCCGCCGGAGCACGAATTCTGTTCTCATCATAAAGCAAAGTTCTTAACTTGAAGCACTATTTCTGGGTTAGCGGAGTCTGTAACCTGAAGCATTTGTAACCCGAGGTACCACTGTATCTGGCAAAAGCAGAATGCACAGATAGTCACTTGCGTGGATAACTTAAACAGATCTAAACAAATTTAAAACGAAACCTGAGCTAAAAGTTGCCGCAACATGAACTGTTCAAACACGTCCAGGCAAATCTTGCAAGCAGAAATTGTACTGGGGTAGCAACTTACACCAATCATTAACATCAGCTTGGGGCAAGCCAATATTCCATGTAGAAAGATCCATTTGCTCCTGGGTTAAAACGTTACCCTTGGCCATTTTTCATCCGACAATTGTGGGAACTTACTGTTCTTTGAGGTGACAATGCCATTATAGGACAAAGAGAAACACTATCCTCTTCTTTAGTGCAGAAAATGTGCACCTGGGACTGAAAATTACCCTTGATCTGAGCTTGAAGTTATTAAAACATAATAAGCAAGGTTCTAGCACAAAGGCTATATTCACTGGCATTGCACTGGCTGTTCCCACTCTCTTATATTTTGTGTCTTGTTGGGCTTATCCACAATTACCGTACCTTTCCTCTGCTCGTTCAACCTGTGTCTGAGCAGCCTTTATTTTTTTGCTCCTGAGTTTTCCCCATGAAAACTCGCTGTTGACATTTGCTCCGACTGAGCGCTAAAGAGCTGGTTTTTGTGGGGAAAGCTCAGGGCGACCACTCCCCCCCCCAAAAAAACCCCCCACCCACTCAGACACAGAGCATTGAAGAGCAGGGCAAAAGGTGAATAAGCCTTTAGTAAGAATAGTGTTTACATAGGTAAAACTGCACATATAGTATCCTTCCCATGGGACTGGAAGTGTTTCTTAATCCACTTTGTAAGAATAGGCTTTGCTCACGGTCCCCACTGTAGATTGGGGATAGAGGGTTGTATCCAACAAATCACAAGGCCTTAACCTTTTCCCTCTCCAAATCTGCTCTGGAGCTTGAGGGAAATCCCAGAACTGATTTGGGTGGTGGCTGGGCAGGGGGGGAGGAAGTCCTATTGAACTAAGGAGACAACTTCATTGGATACAAACTTTAGATTGGCATCATGATTCTGTTGCTTCCATAAAACATATTTCAGTGAATGTGTTGTTTCTGTTGTAGACAGGGCTAGTATATACCAAACATTAATCAAAAGTAGCATGAAGATTAACAGTCCATGTGGCTTGCTGAAAAAGTTCACCATCATCACTGTCAATAAACCAGTTTTATAAACACAAAATGGTTAGTATTAATTGCTGTGACATGGAAGAGCTGTTGGTGTGCATTTAAGGACATAATCAAAATACACAGGCAACATCCCTAGCTCAAGAAAGATCCAAGCATTAATGCACTCTAGAAACAAACACGAGTAAATCAAGATTGCAGCTTCCTAGTGTACCATACTTAATGTACACTGGAAGCATGTAATCCCTCTGAAAAAGATGGAGAAATTTCTGGCTTGCGTATGATATGTGCACATTCTGTTTTGTTTAAGGTAACATTTTAAGTGGTTGGTTGGGAAGGGATGCCTCTATTCGTGGAATATGGATGATGGAATCACAAAAGCAGTCACATCACTAAAGAACAAGGTAACTTCAGAGGATACAGAAAGCTACCAAGTCTTTTGTTCATTAAAACATGGGGGCTAAATTAGATATTGCATTTGTCACATAATTCACTCTTGCATAGTTGGGAATGCCCAAGGTGGATGCAGATTATGGCATCAGGGGAAGAGATCTTTAAATTTTTGCCCTGCTGGAGTCCTGACTGGAATCTAATTCTTCCCAAGACTATTTGCAATAGTAGCAAACTCCCGCTACTGCCATCAGGTTTATAGGGTGCTTCTCCCTGAACAACACTGTCCCAATATGGTTCAAGCACCTTCATTCCTCTGCCATTTTCAGCTTTTAAGTTAACTATGCAAGCACAAACCATGCGACAAAGACCACACTAGTTTCTCTCTCCTCTGATGCAAATTAGACACTGATTTTTATTTTTATTTATTTATTTTTTTCTTACAGAGAGAAAAGCAAAGCAAAGGATTCCAGTTCAGGCATCGATACCAAAATGAACACCACCACAATAAGTTTTAATTAAGTCCAGGACACAAATTGGAATTTCAAGCTATTAAAAACAGGGACATCAGCAGCTGTTGAAGGCACACACGTGAAGTAAATAAAACATGTTTTTAAATTACTTTTACACAAGAGACATTTATTTATGTAAATTTATTTCACACAGGCACATGGAACTAATTTTTACATTTTTATCTAGAATTTCCCGGAAGCTAGACGGTTATTTCCCTTTACATTTCTAATTGAAGGCTGTAGGAAAATACTCATCTTGCTTGGCTATATTTATCTTTTTAGAAGCAGAGTTATCCACTGATTCTGCAAGCTTGGAACATTCTTCTAGAGAAGGTGGGGCGAAACCTCTATGGTTAACTGGCTCCAGAGAGACAGAGATTTATTCTGAAAGCAAAGTATTTTGCACCCACTCCACCCACTTTCCACCTACATATGGCCAGAGGGTCCCTGTGGCCAGCTACCACTTGACGGGTGCATGGTTCTGTGCTTCTTCTGTTTTGACATACTCATCATACAGTTCTTTCAGGTGCAAAAACAACTCCTCCAGGTTTTCACCTGTCAAAGCAGACAACGGGATGACTTTCTGTCCCACTCGTTCCTTGAGGAGAGACAAATTGCTCTTTGATTGTGGAAGGTCAAACTTATTTCCAATGATGGCATGAGGTCTCTTTGACAAGCCTTCTTCATACTGCTCTAGCTCATATTTTAAGTCTTGCAGCTGAGTCCAGGGCTCAGATACCGAGAGATCTAACACAAACAGAAGAAAGCGGCAACGTTCTATGTGCCTCAGGAAGGCTAAGCCCAGCCCCCTGTTTCGATGGGCCCCTTTTATTATCCCAGGGACATCGGCAACTACGGAAACAAAGCAGAACCCAGCAAAAACAATCATTAGTATTCTGGTCATTTGAGCGTGGTCACACAAACGTCAGATTTTGCCTGCAAGACTAGAACCAGAAAGCAGCATCATTCAAGCACACAAAGAACTCCATCTGAAAATTCAGAATGGCAACAAGCAGCCAGCAGGCAGGAGTAGGAAGAGCTGTTATACATTTCCTCCTGAGCATCATACTACAGGGGTCCACAAATATCAGTGTGTCTTGTTGCTGTTTAGTCATTTAGTCATGTCCAACTCTTCGTGACTCCATGGACCAGAGAACGACAGGCACTCCTGTCTTCCACTGCCTCCCGCAGTTTGGTCAAACTCATGTTGGTAGCTTCGAGAACACTGCCAGCATTTATGTGTGCTTCCTATTCACTCTTACCCCTTTTCAGATCCTCTAGCATTTGCAGTGGGCTTTGGAGAGACATGGGGATTTAATTAGTTTGTGCTACGGTATGAAGGAGGTAAAGGGACGCGGGTGGCGCTGTGGGTAAAAGCCTCAGCGCCTAGGGCTTGCCGATCGACAGGTCGGCGGTTCGAATCCCCGCGGCGGGGTGCGCTCCCGTCGTTCAGTCCCAGCGCCTGCCAACCTAGCAGTTCGAAAGCACCCCCGGTTGCAAGTAGATAAATAGGGACCACTTACAAGCGGGAAGGTAAACGGCGTTTCCGTGTGCGGCTCTGGCTCGCCAGAGCAGCGATGTCACGCTGACCACGTGACCCGGAAGTGTCTCTGGACAGCGCTGGCCCCCGGCCTCTTGAGTGAGATGGGTGCACAACCCTCGAGTCTGGCAAGACTGGCCCGTACGGGCAGGGGTACCTTTACCTTTTATGAAGGAGGTAAGAAACAGCAATATATAACCAAGCCATGCCATTAGTGCAAGGACATCTGCCTGTGCAGCAGGACTTCCTCTCCTCTCCCCATGCGCGCCCCCCAAATGTTCTGGGGGTACCTCAACCCTCCACAGCAGGTTGGGTAACTGTGCTTGGAGAGGAATGGGAGAGGTAGTTCCATTGAGCAGGAGGACGTCCTTGAACTAACAAGACACCTTTGTTGGATACAGCCCCAAGAGCCTCCCCTGCTGTTTCTTACTTTTCCAAACTGCTTTGCAAGCCTAGAGGGCTTGCCAGGGAAGCATCGCTTTGCTTTATTCATGCTGGGGTTTGGATAAGATCAGAGACAGCGGAGAAACTGCAGCACTTGTGAGAGCTTGTTGGAGGCGGCTGACAAGCTGTTGCCCCTAACTGCCCAAGGCACATCCTAGGAGAATGGATTAGTGGATGCTTGCTCAAAGCAGATACTCATTCTGTGCTTGGGGATTTGAAAGAAAATGTTCTCGGCAACACCATTCAGTAGTTTCTATGTGAATAAAGCAGACCAATTAGAGATGACACAAGGCACTGCCTCTTCCAAAATGGTTAGCTTTAATACCCTCCCATAGGAGTCCACAGATACTGGGGTTAGCTTGGTAGACAGCATCTATTTATCCTTGCTACCAATTCCCCCTTCCCTGCTCTTTTTCAAATCTTCAGGCATATGCAGAGGGGAAGAGGTAGTGCAGCAATGTGACTACTCGACCTTTGCTTATTTTGGCTTGTGAGATCCAGCTGGGGAAGGACTGACAAGGAGGGTCCAGGGTCGATTTTCCATGGGCAATTCCCAATTCATGCACACCCAATTCATCGGGCTGTAAAGCCTAAGCCCGCTTTCCCTTGCCAATGCCCAATCAGGAAAGTACGTCAAGGTTCCTGACTCCAATGCCGTGATTTGGGCAAAACAGCCTCATGAGCCAAATAATAATAGTAATTTGAACCCCTGTTGTTTAGCCTGTAGACTAGAGTCACCCCACAAATATTGCGGGACTAATGTATTTATTACCAAACAGGAGACAAGTATCTTAATGTTGTCAAGTCTCTTAGCTGTGCTATGATTAGCTCTGTTCTTACCTTGTTTTCTTTTAATAATTGTTTTAAGGGAGGCTGTGATTTTGTATTTAGGCCAGCAGATCACAGTAAGCACAGGACTGCCAAAAGAAGTATTGGGTATTTGTTCTATTGCCCTACATCCAAAGATGACAAGCCAGTTGACAATAGAAATACACAAAAATATACACCATGTGACTATGATACACAATTTTCTTTTTGCTCTTTCAAGAGGAAATGCGATGGAAGCTCAATAAAAATATTAAGCACTTGAAATGAAGCCTTATAAAAACATACCTGCAACTTGCTCATAGTTTTCATAGTGAACAATGCCTACATGTGGATTTAAGGTTGTGAATGGGTAAGATGCCACTGCTGGTTTTGCATTGGAGATGGCTCGCAACAGCGAAGACTTCCCAGCGTTAGGGAATCCTACCTGGAATAAAGAGCCCAATCTGGGTTATTTAGAAGGCAGGTCTCTAGCCACACTGTTCAGACACATCACTGTTTGGCTGAAGCTAGAACATTGCATTTTAATATATAGGTGCGCATAGACAGGGTTTGTGAAAATGCTGCACCCACATGCTTCACCATGATACGTGTTGTTCATAATGGCTAGACAAGGTGAGCCCAAGTTTTCCAGTTGTTGCTACCGTGAACATCATCAGCCTCCAAGTGAAGAGATCCAGTCAGGAAAGCACATACATACACACACACCAGTACAAATCAAAGTACTACATTTTTAAAGTCATATCTCCCTCACTCCACATTATGGGTAAAGGTATTTTAAAAAAAGGTAAAGGACCCTGGACAGTTAAGTCCAGTCAAAAGCGACTATGGGGTTGTGGACCTCATCTCGCTTTCAGGCTGATGGAGCAGGCATTTGTCCACAGACAGCTTTCCAGGTCATGTGGCCAGCATGACTAAACCGCTTCTGGCACAACAGAACACCGTGACGGAAACCAGAGTGCACTGAAACACCGTTTACCATCACGCCGCAGCGGAACCTATTTATCTGCTAGGAGCTGGAACTGCTAGGAGCTGGAACAGAGCAATGGGAGCTCACCCCGTCGCGGGGATTTGAGCCGCCAGCCTTCAGACTGGCAAGCCCAAGAGGCTCAGTGGTTTAGACCACAGCGCCACCCGCATCCCTCCACATTATGGAGCTTTTTCTAACTAAACAATGAAGGTTTGTTCCTCCAGAGTCAAATGTTCTACCGAAAAAAGGCAGACTTACCATCCCTGCATGGGCCATGGTTTTAAGCTCCAAATGGAGAATTTTTTCTTGACCTGGTTCACCCTTAGTAGCAGTTGTTGGCGCTCGATTGTCATTGGCCAGAAAGAAACGGTTGCCCTTCCCTCCAGCTCCACCATAGGCTGCAACATACTCCTCACCATGATGGTTGAGATCAGCCACAATTGTACAGTCCTCTTTAACCACCGTACCAATGGGAACCTTGAAAGTAAAAAGAAAGTTAAGCAAAGCAAAGACGACCATTTGCAATGCGCTGCAATTTGCTTATGCCTGAGTGCAAGCAGAGATCCAAATAGTCCCAGGAAGCTCTCTGAACTCTCTCACATGGATGAAGTATGCTTGTAAGCGTTTAAAAGGCTGAAAATTAGAGAAGTAAGTTGTGTTATGGGGCAGCAAACAAAGACAATTACTTTTTTTAAAAAAATGAAATGTCTAAAACTTAAAATTAAAATATTAGCTGCTTACCTTAACATAGATAGTTTTACCAGCAGCTCCATAACAGTTTTTGCTCCCTCCATTTACTCCATTGAAACCTCGATAGAGTGAGAGAAGAGAAGCCAAGGATCTGACTTGCTTATCCACTGTAAAGCAAGATTCAAAATGTCTGAAGTGTACAGTACTCCTATTAGATAAATTGTCTTGTCTGCATATGCAAATCAAGTGATTCCAAGATGAGGACACATCATTAATGTCAGAGAATGTTGTGTCTGCTCTACCCAGCAGAGGACACTGGAACAAAGCAATACTAGGAGTGATCAGGTGTTGTTATTGCTCGCCTGCCTAAACCATATTAGAATGCTAACAGCGTATTAATGTACATTAAAATGTTTTTGAAAGCAATGTCTTTCAGAAGGTAACTTCGCTTGTGATCACCAAACCAAAATATTTCAATGACAACTTGAAAAATGCCAAAAAATAAAAAAAATAAAATTGTTTCACACCTTGTTCTACACACTTTGTTTTCAGTAGTTTAAAACTGCCAAAATTCATTAATCCATTCTGTCGACGATAAGCACACTTTGGTTCATTATCTTATTTTGGCTAGCTTAGATTA